TGGGACCGGCTTGCGATGGCTGCTTTCCCCTCCAACCTTCGCCCCGCTGCAGGCACAATTCATTTTTCATGTAGTCTCGAGGAAAAACACACGGCAAGCAGACAGAAATGGGTGGTGGCGAAAGGAGGCGAAAGAAATATAGCCCTAGTTGCGTCTTGGTCAAATGCAATATTAATTGGTTTCGACTGGAAACAAATGTTCTTAAATTCTTAATAAACATATATATATATATATATACTCACTTTTTAATTTTAATAAAATACTTGGGATATACTATTTTGTTTGACTCTTTATTGTATAAAAAATTATTTATTTACAAAACACTAAAAATAAGTCTCAAGTAATACCGTAATTACTTATTACCGTAATTATTTAACTACTACTTCTAGTAAAGAAAACTTGTTTAAAGATTTCAGCAATTCAATTTTAAACAAGAAAGAAAGCAAAATTCGGCAAGCCGAAGTTCATATACCCTTGCAGCTATTGCATGAATTAAATATTTTTGAAAACATTTAAATTATGATTTACTTGAGTATATGCTGAAAAGCATTGAAACTATGATGATTTGCAGCTCAATTATTAGATAGTTATTTTATATATATTTATTATTTCTATGGGAGCTATTTGCTATAGACGTCCGATTTTGATAAAATTTAAACCATAATTCTGAAATAATTAAACATTGCTATATGTCGAAGAACTAAACAAAAAATTAAGAAACAGCAAACTTATAATTTTTTTCATTTATTTTTCCGATTGTTCCTATGGGAGCTATATGCTATAGTCGTCCGATCCGGCTCGTTCCGACTTATATACTACCTGCAATAGAATGACAACTTTTGGGAAAGTTTCATGCAGATAGCTTTAAAACTGAGAGACTAGTTTGCGTATAAACGGACGGACAGACGGACGGACATGGCTAGATCAACTCGCCTAGTGATGCTGATCAAGAATATATATACTTTATAGGGTCGGAGATGTCTCCTTCACTGCGTTGCAAACTTCTGACTGAAATTATAATACCCTCTTCAAGGGTATAATTAAATATTCAGCTAAGTTGCTTATCATAAAAACCTTTATCTGTTCTACAACTATTTAAATGATTCTTCATAATTATTGTTGAATTGCACAATATTTAGAAAACTTAGATAGTTTAATTAATGCTTCTAATTTTTCTTCAGGGTTGTCTAAATAGGAATGAATATTTTCCATATATATTATAGTTAAATTAAATTTGTAAATTATATTTCTTTTTCTTGAATTTTCTGCAGTGCCTTTTTTGTCGTATATATTGCCACAATGCGACAAATTCCGAGCTGTGAATTCCAGAGTTCCTCTCCATCTTTCACTGGCCATGTTTGTTTTGTAGTGTTTCCTTCTGCTCATTTGCACTCGAGTCGCGTTCTGCCGCCTGCCATCGCAATGGAAAATAAATTTGTCAACTTGCAGTTGCATTCGCAATTCTCTAGTTTTCCCTCAGCCCGGAAAGCCACGAAAAAAGAGCAGCGTGAGCTTCATCTGTTCGCTAGTTTGTTAGCTTTTTGCCGTCAGCGGCTATTACACATTTCATTTTATTGTCACGTACACAGTGTCTCTTTATGGCTCATACGCCCCTTTAGCCAAGCGATTTCTATGGACTGGGATCCATATATAGAGCGTTTACAGTTGTCTCGACGACCAGAATCGAACGTCGAAGGTTGTTAACTATCGCTGGGTGTGGCCATTGAATTTAAATCGCTTTTGCTGCCAGTTGTAACGTTAAGTTTTCTTGTCCAAAATTAGTTTACATTCATTCGAATTTTGTGCAGAATTATGTCACTTAATTGATGGCAAGCAAGGAACATTTTAATTACATCAATGAGCAAGCATATTAAATATCAATTAGGTAATGCCGTAGTGCAGTATATGAAGTAAGCCAATATTTACTTGCAAGGTTCAAGTGACAATTTGCCTGTCTATTAAGTTATTAATAATCATACACTTTAATGTTTTGCGGCCAAGAAGTGAAAAGTTCTTGTGACTTGAATTAAATTGTGATCAAACATAAAACACTTCCCTTGGGACACATGATTAGATAAACATTATCATAGTTTTTATATTTTTTAAAATTAAAAGGTTTTGTTTAAATTAATTTCTCCTTGTATTTTCCGGGATTTTGGGCCATCACGTAAAAGCTTGAAAATTAATATTAAATTTGTTATGTGCTTTAATACAAATATGGTAAAAATATTTCATCTCTTAATCCGTAATAATGCTCTTTTTTATGAATCCATAATACTTTTTGAATTTAACTTCCAATTAGATAGAGGCATTAAGCAAGAAGCCAAATAAAACCCTCAACATTTTTTCTTGTAAGTACAAATACTTAGTATGAGTAAAGGAAAACTTGACAAATCCCCAGCTGCATTTAATTGCTAACGTATTATTAGGAGCCTAATGACCATCAAGTCCTCACTTAAGAAATTCTGCATTTAAATTGTAAATGGAGAGGAGAAAAACAGACTCGGTTTAAAATAAACTATACCTGTTCCAGCGATTTGCAGCTGCTTTTAACAACCGCTGCACATGCATTTTGAATGGCGATGAGGGAAAAAGTTTGTCATTTAATTCCGTCATTCGTTTTAAAAAAGTGTCCTCAAAAGTTGCTCAAGGAAAATGGTAAAACGCAAGCTGCGAAAACATTTGCTCTTTGTTACCAACAATTGAAAAACACCTGAAAAAAGTTAACTCCGGTTTAAACTTTGCGTTCGGCACGAAGCCAATTAAAATTCTATGGCATGAATTAGAGTGCAGGCTGCATTCACATTCGCGTCGCACTAATTCACTTTGCAGTTTCTTCCTGTAGTTACTTATGCCATCTCCACCAGCCGTGGAAAATAGTTTTCCTTCGCTTTTCCCAGTCGTTTTTCGGTGGGGGAGGATTATACGAAGGAGCATTACACGGAGCTAAGAAAAGGCAAAGCCAGGTGCAGGCAATGCCGGAAATATATAAAGGGGACAGAAGAGAAGCAGACTTATTGCATTACTTACGCTAAATAACCACTTACAAAGTGGCATTAGACGGCGGAGATGAACACGGCGAAAACTGATCCCGATGAGTTAATGACGGCGATGATGTTGATGCTACTCATTAAAGATATGCCACAAACACTCCCAACGAATACGAAATACCAACAGGTAGAGACGGTTGAAAGTTTCTGCACGGAACTTATAGGGAAAATGAGTCAGCCAAAACAGACCGAGGGAAATGCAAATGGAATGTGGGGAAAACCAAGGAAGCGTGCTCGAAATATGCATTCCAATACACGAATAATTCTGTATCTGCATTTTTGCGTCGTGTGTATCTTGTGTGCGGTTAAGCAGGCATACGAAATACGCATACGTATTTGGGAAGGGAAGTATCTCGGCGTTGAAAGCCCGGAAAAAACATCCTCTGTGTGTGATGGCTGTATGGTCTCGCCTTTGATTGAGTTTCCACTGCATGAAATTCGCATTGAGGGAATTGTTTTCCTCGCTGTTTGTTCAAAAATTTAAAGACTTTTATTCATCTGATTTTTGTTTGTTATTCAAGCCTGAAGTGCTTTCAACTGGAATGCTTGAATATACGGAAATTTAAACAAGGGCCTCAATTAAGTGCTAGATGCTTGAAAATGTAGATACTTCCATAAGTGAATTGTTTAAACAAAAGGGGAAAACAGGTTCTTTGTTGGCCGGTTGTTTAAGTTGTGTGGGCAGATCATCGTAGTCTCATCAAGTTTGAGAACAACCGACTTGTGTTTTATTTCGGTCTATAAATAATCTCAAGACATTGAATGTTTGTTTAATCTTCTTTTTCTCGAAATCTGATTGAGCTCCAAATGGAAATGCTATTAAAGGTACAAGTGGTTTGGACGAAAAGGCAGCAAATTTAACTATGTGTACTAAGCCTTTCCAAATGATGTTCCTTATTTAATAACTGAAAGTTTATGCCATGTCTGCTTTAACGAATGATTTATTTCATAAATGTTTTCATGTTTGAAAGTGTCTGATAACGAACAGCCACTCTAACTTCAATTCTGCACTGTGGTTGAATTTTACCGACCAACTTTTTTGTAGGTTTTCTAGCCCCCTCTCGTCGAGCAATCTCTTTAAGGATTTGCATTTGACTTCACTGCGAATCTGCTGGCGAAGCAAGTATGGCTCTGAAATCTAATATGGCAGAAAACCCAATTAAAAGGCTGCACCAGACAAGACCCCAGGAACAAGAGCGCAACAAAGGCGTCGGCAGCCTCGAATAATTTCTGGGCTGTGGCCCGACAAGTTTAATCTCTTTGCCCGATGCAGGCAGCTGTGCTCAGACAACTCGACTTGAATTTAGTTTGGTTTGGCTCGGTTTGGCTTGGTTTGGTTTGGGGAAGGCTCCTTGGGGTATGCAATTTATTTTTGAAATGGGCAAAATAGAAATAAATTACCACACTAAGAAAAAACAGATAAGTATCAGTGGAAGTGTAGTGCAGTACTTTCAAACTAAATGTTTTATACATTTTCGAACAGTTATTCACTCAGAAAACTACATAGATTCTTTGATTGAAGGAAAACATGTCCTAATTTTAGAAATAATTGCCATAAATATGTGCTTTTCATAAAAAATGTAGGAAAACATGAACTAAAACGAGACCCAAGTCCATTATGGCCTTAAACTTAGTTTTAGGTCATATATAACACATTGTAGTATTAACTTTACACTTTTTAATAGTAGCTATGTACCATTTTCTCTTTTTCGTAAGCTATACAACTTTTTTCATTTAAATCGAAGCTCTATATAAGATATAAGATAGTACGACCGTATTGTCGTTCAAAAAAAAAAATTGACTGGACAAACCCTACTCTTAACTTAACATTCATGAGAAAATTGGACTCAATATGTCGAACTAAGTAATTGCAATATTTTCTTAACAATTTCTCTCTCTGCAGCCATAAAATACGCCCTTCTCATGTTTGTTTTTATTATTTCATTGCAGAGAGTGTCACTAATTGAATGCTTATTGCTGCCTGGTAAGTTTATTGGACACGTTTAGTCGTGGGGAAACCGTTTAAAAAGGGTTCGGGAGGGGATGTCGACATGTGGGTTACTGGCTCAAGCGGGCTGACAAATACTTGGTCAAGTGCTTAGTAAATGCTGGCACTTCTTTTGTAGGAGAAAGCTTTTAGTGAAAGTGGATGGGATGGCTATATGGAAATGCCAACTTGAACTTTGATCAATAACAGCGAATTTGCCCTACCCAATTCCCAGTTCGTCCTCTTACTTTGGGTCATAAAGTGCTAGAAGAAAGAACTAATCGCTGGTCAACCGTAAAAGGGGTAGAAGGCCACAACAGGGAAAAGTTATGGCCGCATATAAAAAATGAAAAAGGGCATGTCGCAGGACACTGATACGGATACGAACACGGATAGAGGGGAATGGACGCACCACACATGCGGCTTTTGTTGCAGTTTCGTGTGACATCTTAAGTGCACATGGCTGCAGGTCGCTGCTTTTCCGGATCCGGCTGATGTTAAGCCACCGCTTACCGGACCCGCTTTTACGGCTGCAATTTGCCAAAGACAAAGCCATCGGAAATCTTGCCCTGCTGTGTGGTGCCATTCTCCCTTGTTTGAAGTTTACGCCAGCGGGGAGTTTACAATGTTACATTCTGCACAGCGAAGTATTCATAAAGATCTGATGGAACCGAGGAAGCTCTGGATTAGTTGGTCCTATTTGGTCAAAAGGAACGCGTGAAATGGTTTTAAATTGTTCAGAAAGAAGTGGGAATAAAAATTTTACGGCAGATAGTAAGATGTTGATTAAATTGTAACCGCATACAAAATAATTCTTCAACTGAAGCTTGCTTTATAGCCACAACTTAGCAATTGGGTAATTTTAAATTCATTAAAAATTAAAACAAAAAAATGGTAATGGTCTTTGATAAACAACAAGAAAGAAAGCAAACTTCGGCAAGCCGAAGTTCATATACCCTTGCAGCTATTGCATGAATTAAATACTTTTGAAAACATTTAAATTATGATTTACTTGAGTATATGCTGAAAAACATTGAAACTATGATGATTTGCAGCTCAATTATTAGATAGTTATTTTATATATTTTTATTATTTCTATGGGAGCTATATGCTATAGACGTCCGGTTTTGATAAAATTTAAAACATAATTCTGAAATAATTAAACATTGCTATACGTCGAAGAACTAAACAACAAATTAAAAAACAGAAAAGTTATAATTTTTTTTCATTTATTTTTCCGATTGTTCCTATGGGAGCTATATGCTATAGTCGTCCGATTTTGATGAAATTTAAAACATAATTCTGAAATATTTAACCATTACTATATCTCGAAGAACGAAACAAAAAATTAAAAAACAGCAAAGTTATAATTTTTTTTCATTTATTTTTCCGATTGTTCCTATGGGAGCTATATGCTATAGTCGACCGATTTTGATGAAATTTAAACCGTAAATCGGAAATATTTAACCATTAATATATGTCGAAGAACTAAACAAAAAATTAAAAAACAGCAAAGTTATAATTTTTTTTCATTTATTTTTCCGATTGTTCCTATGGGAGCTATATGCTATAGTCGTCCGATCCGGCTCGTTCCGACTTATATACTACCTGCAATAGAAAGACAACTTTTGGGAAAGTTTCATGCAGATAGCTTTAAAACTGAGAGACTAGTTTGCATATAAACGGACGGACAGACGGACAGACGGACGGACAGACGGACGGACAGACGGACAGACGGACGGACAGACGGACATGGCTAGATCGACTCTACTAGTGATGCTGATCAAGAATATATATACTTTATAGGGTCGGAAACGTCTCCTTCACTGCGTTGCAAACTTCTGACTGAAATTATAATACCCTCTGCAAGGGTATAAAAACACATTTTAAACAAACAAATTTTAAAAATGTACAATATAATTTTTGTTTTATTTTTCTAGCTTGAAGTCTGTAAATACAGTTAAATTATTCAAAGAAAACCACAACTTTAAAATTAAAATTCTTTTGAAAATAGGAAAATAGTACTTGTTTAGTTGGTAAGCTACCAATCAATCTTATAGGAAGTTGAACCAACAGCTTTTTGAAAATGTTCTCCACGCAATTAAGTTCGTTGTATAAGGTACTCCAATTAAAATAGAAATTTCGCTGAAGTAAATACCCAACATCATTGAATTGCTCCATCATTCAACTAGTTTTTCCATCTTGATCTCCCTTCGATTTGTTTTCTTCATCGAACCGTGTTTTTCCAACTTCGTTTTTCCTCCTTGAAGTTATTTTGCCTCGACTAGTATGACAAAAGTAGCTTAACATGTTTTTTTCTTTTTTTATGTATTTTACTTCCTAAGAAGATTTATCGATGGCCGTGCCAACTCATACAAAAACTGTTCAAGGGAGCACGTCCCTTTGCCATAAAAATACGAATATGAGCGAAATATTCTGGCAGGAATAAAAAAGACGGAAACTGCAAAAAGAAGGTGGCTTGCTTACGATATTCCATTTGATTTGAGGCCAAGTTAGCTATTGCTTGTATAATATTTTGCTATCAAAAATATATATAAATGCACACAAATAAACCAAAAAATATCAAATTTAAATGGTTATCGACTTGCCAAAAATGATTACTCAAAAATAAATAAATAATCATATCTATTCTATTTGATTAAAAAAAAATAATTAAATGATTAAATAAATATATTCAATATATATCAGATCGTTAAGGGCTTTTCACGAACTAATTGTTTTAAAGTTTTAACAACTTATGTTTGTTCGTTTTCAAGCGTGTCGCAGTTCTAAGTTAACATAAAACGATTTCACGTTGAATAATTGCACGCCATCGCTGCACGCAAATCGACTGCAATGGAATTATACCCAAAAATCCAGCGAGAATTTTGGGGAATTCGCCTCTGATAATTGGTGGGCGTGGCCAGGTGGCCATTCGAAATTGAAATTGAAACTGGCGTTGATTATCTGGTCGACCGCTGCCCGAACACGTCCGTCTGCCACCCACTTGGCGTGAGTTGGGGCAATAAAAACTTATTAAGCGATGCTGAGGACGCAGGACTCGCAACTTGCCATAAAGCCCGGACGACAACCGGGGAAACCCAAAAAGGGGCCGAAACGAGGATGGGCGGGCCAAAGGATAAATGGAGAAACATTTGGCAGAAATGTGTCGTTGCCTTGGGGCAGGACCGTAATAAAAACGGGGGAATAAAACGAAATAAAAGATATAAAAAATGCGCATACGCCGCATTGGCTTCCTCTGCCTTATAATAGACATTAATAATATATCGCCGTTTCCGCTCCAGACTCTTTCCCATCCGATTCCAGTGGCAAGTGCGATAAACCGTTTAGCAACATCCGGATCCAGAGAGCGATAGATATGGAGGACATGGGGGGAGAGAGAGGGGGAAATAGTGTAAAACACACTCTCCGGGAAATTGCTATCCTTGGTCTTTATCTCGGGAAATTTACATACTAATTCAATTCATTACGTGCCCCTGGCTGGGATCCTAATTGAGGTAATCAATGCATCTGTAAGCGGATTTAGTTCGAGTGCTTTCTTTGGCCCCAAAGCAGCTTAAATTTCAATGCAGCTGTCACAGTTTGCTTTACATTTTCAATTTTGCAGCTGGCATTTCTTGAACTCCAATCGAGTTTAATAACAAGAAGTATACGCAAATATTTTGCAAAAGGATATTTACTCATACGCACACACAATAGGCGAGCAGCAACAAAGGCATCAGAAAGTATTGGCAAAACTTTGGCGACGGCACATCGCCCACTTCCTCCCATTTCCTTCACTTAACTTTTTTGCAGTGCCATCTGCGGAAAAGTTTACTACGATAAATGAAAATAGGAAGCGCACAACGAACAGCTACAACAAGATGTTGAAATAAGTTGTCAAGCCAACGCATCCGGCTGGTTTTTTCCTTTTTTTTTTTTTCCTCGTTTACTGGGCGTGTATAGTTTTCCACTTGTCTGACTGCGGCGGCTGTCGGCGATAAGCGTAAAGCATTGATAAACATCCCCATTCTCCGCGGTACCGCCACTCCAACTCCATTTCCTCCTCCCTTTTTATTCCGCTTCTGAGGTACGGATGAAGTAAATGTCAGCCAACGACAATAGCTATGCCGTGCCCACAATTGGTTGTCTTGACAAAACGACTGGCCCACGTACAACTGGCCGGGAAATATAATACACTGTAAGAGAATATCAATTGTAATTTAACTCAACTTTTGTGGAACGAAGTTCTCAGGGGAATTTTAGGTACTGCAATTGCTTGTTATACATATCTTTCTTTAAATAAAGTATGTGTTCATATGGGATTTTTCTGCAATATTTATGCAATATAAAAGTATTGTGGTCAAGGTAAAATATCTAATAATAACGCTGATGGAATTGTAAAAAGATTATCACTATTGTTGTTGTATTGAGGAACATTTAAATCAAGTCAGTAGATTGCGATTTAAAACAGTTATACTGCTCAAACAGGAACAATTTATTTGTGGGAAAAAATTATATATTAAAGCCAAACTTCAAACTGAAGATAGGTATATAGCATTGTCCATACAATGCCTTAAACTACCATCCCCACATCATTTAAAGTTGTCAGGGCTCTTAAAAACTACCAGGTGGCTCACTAAAATTTGATAAAAATCTAAAACTTTCATCACATTCATAAAAAATTCATTGAAATGATATGATCTTCCCTCCACATAAAATCATCCTTTTCTTCGTACTCTGCACTACAATTGTTAAATTCGTAGGGTTGAGGTCGTAGTCGTTGATTTTCCGGGACTCTGCAGGCGGCAGGGCGGCAAAGTGGAAAGCGCTCCACTGGGCTGGGGGGAAATGGGAAAAACGAGGATTGCGAGACGGGAGATGGGAGATGGGGAGGCTACTGTCAATGGCAGTTGAGTTACGACAAAGCGAAGAATTGCATGGCAGAAGCACTTCCTTCGGCTCCCAAACGCTTTTGGAATTTTTCACGCGTCACC